CTCTCTCTCTCTCTCTCTCTCTCTCTCTCTCTCTCTCTCTCTCTCTCTCCATCTCCATCTCCATCTCCCTCCCCCCTCCAGGATCTCATGACCTAGAAATCTGGGAGAAGGATGTGACACCCCGAGTGAACTGTCTGCAGCTCCCACTCCTGTCTACCACTGCTGTCCTTGACATGGATGACAGCATCGGCCTAGTCTCTCTTGCCTCCTCTCCTTCTCACCTGCTCCTCAGTTTCAAGCACCTTCTAGCACCTTTCATCCTTAATGGCATGTCTTCCCAAAGCTTATTTCTGGAAACAGAGAAGAAGAGACAGAGTTCAACTTGAGCCCAATAAATCTCAGCCAAAGAAACTGGGTCTTTTTTTCCTTCTTTTCAGTTTCTTTGCTGTCTAGAAGGCTCTCCTGGGTTCTGTGGGTCATTAATTTGTTGGCTTTGGGAAAAGCATTTATGCAGAACTATTAAGCACACTGAAGGTGGAGAGATAATAGGATGCTTCATGAGCATGACCTCTGACCCCAAGGGCCCATCACCCATTACGAGGCTGCTCTGGTTTTATTCTGTTGCTGTAACAAACACCACCACTGAAAGCAGCTTGGGAGGAAGAAAGGGTTTATTTCATCTTACAGGTCACAGTCCTTCATTGAGGGAAGTTAAGACAAGAATTCCAGCAGGAACTTGAAACAGAAACCATGGAAGGATGCTGCTTCCTGTCTTGTCCACAGTCTCATTTTTCCTTACACAGCCCAGGACTGTTTGCCCAGGGAATGTTACTGCCCACAGTGGACTGGGCCTTCTCACATTAATTTGCAACCAAGATGATCCCTCACAGATAGATCTGATCTGAGCAATCCCTCCTTGAGATGCCCATCTCGGGTGTCCCTAGGCTGTGTCAAGTTGACAGTTATCACTAGGTCAGGGGGTTTGGAGTCCTGTTTCAGTGTACTCTTGTGTGAAACCTCTGAAACAAGACTTTATACCCTTCTCTCTTTTGAACAGACAGTGGGAGCTGCGGAGATGGCTCCATGGTCAAATGCTTGTCTTGCAAGTGTGAGGACCTGAGTTTGGACCCCAAGAATCCAGTCAAGTTGTACACCTATAACACTGGTACAGGGGAGATGGGAGGTGAAGCTAGGTGGCTTCCCATCTGGACGTCTATGGGCTAGTTAACCTTGCCTACTTGATGAAGTTTCGGGACAGTGAAAAACCCTGTCTCAAGCAAAGGTGGACAGTTACTTGTTTGAGTTTCACCTTTGTGGCTGTGACTGAATACCCTGACTTGGGGGAGAAAGGGTTTATTTCAGCCTACAGCTCTTCACATCACATCTGTAGTCAAGAGTGGAGAGAAATGAATATATGTTTGCTCGCTCACTTGTTTGCTTGAGCTCATCTCATTTTCTCTACTCATGCATTTCAGAATCCCCTGCTAAGGGAATAGTGTTACCCACAGTGGGCTGGATCTTTTCACATCAATTAACATAATGAAGACAATCCCCAACAGACACACCCTTAGTCCAACCCAATGTAGATAATCCCTCATTAAGATTCTATTCCCAGGTGATTCTACTGTGTATCACGTTGACACTTGAGGTCAACCATCACAGCTTCTTAAGGTTGTCCTCTGATTTTCATATCCAAACACGTGCACATGTTCACCCACATCCATGCATGCATATATGAATGTGCAAGCACACATGTGTGCACCCAGCAGAAAATAAGACAGAAAAGAATTCTAAACACTCTGGGCAGAAGCCATCTGAATCTCAGAACAGGAAGAGCAACTATTCTGGGATGTATAGTTGTTGTGTACTTATAGACCCTCTTCCAGTCAGGGAGTTGTCTTTTGTTCTACACCATGCTCACATGACAAGTGGGAAGCCATTTGTTTTCAATAACACTCTGCAACCTCACACTGCAGGCACAGAGTGGGAGAGCAAAGGCCTGGGGAAACGGGAGCTGGGGAATTGCTTGTGTATAGTATCTGTGCTTTGTTCTATAGAATTGACTCTTCTTGGGACTTGGGATATGGAGCAGGAGGAGAAACTCGAGAATCTCTGAGGAAGGTGACAGGCAGAGCTTGTGTGAGCTTTGGATTGCTGTGACCAAAACTCTAGATTGAAATAGCTTGAAGAAAATGACTTCCCTTGACTCGCTGCCTCAACACTTCAGTCCAACACAATGGAGGGGACGTGGCAGAGTGGCTCAGTCCACAATGGCGGGAGTGCTCACCGGGTAGCAGACCAGGGAACAGAGAGAGCCTGGGTTACATTCACTTTTCCTGGGGAGACATCTAGTCACCACCCAGATGGGCACCAAGGACAGACCAAAGTACTGTTTCATCCGGGTCCAACTTGAGGGATTGATGAGTTTATTGGACTTGCTTACAGTGGTGAGTGAGGGGTTCCTTACTGGAGTGTGAGTGACCCCAAAACATCGCCACAAAGTCCCACCTCATCATTGATGGCTACTAAATGGAAGCTGCATCATAGACGCTCCCATTCAGTCAAGCTTCCACTTCCTGTAAACGCTAGCATCTCCCAAGATCCCTTGCAGCAGAAGGAGGAAATCTCATGTGGGAATGTACTGACCCTCCTTTCATCCACCCCACAGAGAATGTCAATGGCTATATTACCATTACCATAGACATGGGTAGCACTGATATTTACTGTTCTGGTTGCCATGGCTACCGGGGGCAAAGCCCTAGATGAAAACCAGTGAAGGATACAACCTTCAAAGGCCAACCTCAACCTCACAACCTTCAAAACAGCTCCACTGTCATGGGAACAAGCTCTGAAAACATGGGCCTATAAGGGGCATATCAGACTCAAACCTCAACAGGACTTAGAAACAGCCAGTCCAGGGTTTGAGCCTGAGTTTCCTGGTGAATCAGGGAATGAAGCAGACACAACCATAATTACCTTCATCAAGTTCCTTGTGGCTTCCCTGACAAGGATCTGCATGTCTGTGCCTAAGGGACAATCAAGAAAGAGATGGAATGTGAAGCTGGGTTTTGGTGGCACACTCCTTTAATCACGGCTCTTGGGAAGCAGAGGCAGGCAGATCTTTGTGAGTTTGAGGCCAGCCTGGTCTACATAGTGAGTTCCAGGACAGCCAGGCTACATAGAGCGGCCTTGTCTCAAAAACAAAACAAAACGAAAACCACCACCCAAATAACACCAGTGACAAAAAGATGGTATATGAACACCCCAGCTCCTGTGCAGGTTTATCAGTGATGACTGAAGAGGGTGGACCCCAAAACTCAGTCTCTCCAGGCAGAAGATACTTAAGTGCCAGTGAGATGGCTTGGCAAGTAAGGACACTTGCCAACAAGCCTAAGGACCCAAGTTTGAGCCCTGGGAGCCACCTATGGAAAGAGAGAAACAATTTACAAAAGTTGTCCTCTGACCTCCATTGGTCACACATATGCATCACTACCACCCACCACAAATAAACAAATAAATGAATAAATGTCATTCTTTTAATTCAAGAAAATATTTTAAAGTAGGGGTTCCAATTTTATAGGAAGGAAAGAAAAAAAGGAAGGCAGGAAGGAAGAAGGAAGAGAGCAAGGAAGACCTCTCCTGATTCCTTCTGTAATGCATCCCTTTACATTTCCTTCTGTCTTTATGTGGGAGACCCAGAAGCAGACCCTGACCCAAAGATCTGGGGGGCAAGGACTGGAGCTAGCTCATTCGGAATGGTGATTGCCACATAAATCATGAGGACCTGAGTTTGACCAACAGAGCCCACACAGAAGTCTGGCACTGGGAAGCTTGCTTGTAATCCCAATGCTGGAGGAGATGGACAGGAAGAGCCCTTGGGCTCACTGGCCAGCAAGCCTCATCCTGTCAGTAAGCTCTAGGGTCAGTGAGGGACCCTGCCTCAAACAACAAGGTGGAGAGCAATTGACAAAGACGCCTGATACCAATCTTTGTCCTCTACACACATGCACACATTCACAAAATGAGTATCTTCAACCTACACACACACACACACACACACACACACCAAAGATCAGGAGGCAAGTTGTACCATAGGAGATGGTCCCAGTAATCCCCAGTTTAGGAAAGTGACAATGTAAACCAGGAAAGGGAATGAAATGAGTAAAGCTCATTTGGGGTTCCCTAGAGAAATAGAACAAATGGATTATATACATATCTGAATATTTATATAGATGTATAGATAGATAATATAATAGAACAAATTCCATAATATAATAAAATATGATATAATTATATTTGTTATATTTATTTTTATTTTATTTTATTTATTTTTATTTTATATTATATTATATTGTATTATATTATATTTTATATTATATTGTATTGCATTGCATTGCATTATATTATATTATATTATATTATATTATATTATATTATATTATATTATATTATATTATATTATATTATATTATTATGATGTCCATGCTGATGGTAGCAGCCATAAGGGACTCCCACAGTGGAGCTGGCATGTGCTGGCTGACTTCTCTTCTGCTGCTTCTTATTCCATCTGGGTCCCCAGCCTATTGGAACAAATGTCACAGTCAGTCTTGCTCTACATGTCAATTATTTCTGTAAACACTCCCACACACCCTCCCAGAGCTGTACCCTACCTCCAAGATACCCCTCAATCCAGTCAAACTGACTACCCAGATTAACTGTCAAAGGCCTGAGATGGCTCAGTGGATGAAGTACTTACCACAAAAGTACTGAGTTCTCTTCCCCAGTACCCAGGTAGAAAGTCAGGTGTGGTGTGCATGCCTGCAATCCCAGAGCAAGGGGAGGTGGAGATAGACTGTATTAGTTACTCTTCTGTTGCTATGATGAAACATCACGGGCAAGGCAACTTACAGACGAGTTTATTTTGGCTTAAGGTTCCAGAGGGTTAGATGATGGGGACAGCATGGAGGCAGGCGGCAGGCTTGGTGGCAGGAACAGGAAGCTAAGAGTTCGTATCTTGATCTGCAAGCATGAGCAGAGTGAGAGAACTGGACATGGTGTTGGGATTTTAGTCTCAAAGCCCTCTTCCAGTGACGTATTCCCTCCAGCAATACACGCTTTCTAAACTTTCCCAGACAGTGCCACCAACTGGCAGGGGTGGGGGTGGGGAATTCAGGGGGTGGGGGGCGGCACAAGTGTTGAAGTGCTGAAGGCTAAGGGGAACATTTATCATTCAAATCACCAGATGGGTTTCTGGAGCTCACCAGCAAAGTGAGCTAAGTCGGTGAGTTCCAAGTTTAGTGAGAGACCCTGCCTAAAATAAAAAAAATAAAAAAATAAAAAAAAGTGGAAGGCTGGTGAGATGGCTCAGTGGGTAGGCAAAGGTATTTGCTGCCAGGTGTGACAACCT